TTGCGGCTGCAATGGCCATCCAGTGGCAGCAGCACAGGGTTCTCTTTGGTTGGTTGCGGGTGTTTGACGAATATTCTTAGATATTGGAAAAAAGTCACTATTCATCCACCCTTTTGGCTAGGCCACACTGAGCTCTCAGCTGGAGCATTCACCATAAGCTTTTCATTCATTCTTTGCCTAGGAAATACGAAAAATGGGGATATGTAGTGACCGTTAGCACTCATACAGAACAAAACTGTGATATTTTTGCCTCTCTCAGCAGAAGTGAGCTTACCTACTTGACGGATGGCTTTCGAAGCGCTAACTTTTTGATGTTTGTGCACGCAACTGACGCCAGTTTCATCACAGTTATAAATTCTCTATTTTTCATGTTGACACGTCTGCTTTGGCAGCTGCGGAAAAATCAACTGACCACTTCTCCGCGGAGATGCTAAACACTACGTCGTGACGCTGCGTTTGAGCCGCATACCGCAGCGTTGTGCGTTACGATCAAGAGACCGAAGCTTAAGACTCCTACCGACTAAATTCCGATTGTAGTCAACGTAGTCGTCAACGAGGGATCTTCATACAAAACGCAACCACGATCCCACCACCTAGGCCGATATTTTTTTAAATAACAATTGTTAAAATAAAAAAAATGTACAACAGACTTCAATATAAATGAAATGAGAACATCATCAATGTAGTCGAAATCAATTCAATACGCATTATTAAGGATGACTCAAAAACTACTGGTCAGATCTTGATCAAATTTATGCAGGCTATCAAATAAAAAAAGAATCTTCAAAATCGGTGCATACAAATAAGTTCTGAGGTAACAAAAATACAGTCGAATTGAGTATTATCATTATTAATATGCCCTTTAACCACTCCTGGATAATCCAGGTTGTAGCACGAATGGGTTGGCTTGACCGGGGTAAGAACACACGCTGATATATTACCAGCGTGAAATACAGCTTAATGCTGCTGTGTTTTAATTAGTATTTAAAACCGGGGACATGTTTTAATTGAAACGTGGCATTCAATCTTAGTCCTAAGGGCTCACGGCCCATCTGCATTTTTTTAAATTTATTCAGGACAACAAACAATTACATAATAATGCTTAAAACAAATAACATTTACCAAAAAAACCAAAAATTGATAACAGTAAAAATTTATCTTGTAAAATACTTTAAGATACTATTGAATATCTACCAACTTTCTTAAAACGTTCTTGCGAAATTGTAACTGTGATGAAGTGAATAGATCATTATTTGAAAAATGCATGTTATATATAATAAATAATGTTATTTCGGGATGATGGACAAATTAAGTGTACTCTTAACCGACAAGTGTGTATATGCGTAGGTAGTGTATCAGGATAGTGCCAAATTAAAGTACGTAGTCTTAGCCTACCCCTACAGGCGTGAGTGTTTATGTTATGTTTATGAAATATTTCATATACTATATTAAGCATGTTGCAATTTACTTCGGAAAAATATAGCTAGAAATTGATTATATCTCCATTTGATTGTCAAAGTAACTATCTTCGTCTCTATTCGTCCTTGATTAACCTTATGTTCGGGTTGATTACGGGAAAAAATCTTATATATAAGTGGAATAATTTATTTCAGAACGGTGCCAAGTTGTTCGTGTTCTTAACTTTGTACACGACAAACTTTGATGTGCACACAAAGTTAGCTGACTTAAATAAGCCGTGGTACAATATTTATGGTATGTTATACTGATTCGAATTTCGAGCAAACCATGAGCACTGCAAAAGAATGCGTAATATTATATTTGAGTAAAACAGATACACCTATTTCGAATGTTCGTTGTAGGTTAAACTCGTTTCAGAATACCTATTACCCAATACGTAAAATTGTACTTAAAATATAGATATTACAATATATTTATAAATTTAAGCAAACCAAACCGATTAAAAAACGCGTATGACCGTGTAGTACTAAATATTGACGTCCTAACATAGGAGTTACATAATCACTTAGATATCAACCGATACATAGATATTAAAATATATAGATTCGCTATCAGATATTAAAATAAAATACAATACACAGAAGATACGATTAAGAGGAGTTACTGCCGCACTCAAAGACGTTTAGGTATATATTAAGTAGCGATTCTACTTAATGGTAGCTTCCCACTGCGTGTCTTATCACGCGCCGCGCCGGGCCCGCACGCGCCACGCGCAGTGAGAAGGGCTTGGCGCGGCACGGCGCGGGCAGGCGTGGCACGGCATGTGCTAAGTCGGTAACTTCAGAAACAAATGGCGCGGCGCGCTTGTCTAATGTCGCCTCTACACGTTGGCCAACACAGTGGCGAATGTAGTGGCGAATATATTGGCCGAGAGTTGGTGACGGCGTCCACACGTTGGAAGGTCGTTCAGTTTACTTCGGTTCGGGCCGATGGGCGATGTGTGTGTGTCCTTGTGCAATTTATGTTAGTAAGCTTACTAAGCCTCCTCGATACAGGAGAAAATCCAAGTGTGGGGGTAACGTTTTTATAAAATAATTATAAAATAATAGTGAATATTAATGGGGCTGTAAATAGATACATGCATCATAAACTGGAATAAATACCATTAATTAGAACTAAACTTATTTTAAAGTTAAAGGAGTTATAATCGATTAGTCTATGCATTTTAAAATTGGGTTTTTATTTTAAAGTTAAGCATAACATGTATTTGCTTTTCTATCAGACATTTGATGTATATAAAAAACACCTTATAATTTATTTCGAAATTTAATTATTTTTGAGAAAGACAAAAACAATAGGAATAAATATAATTAACACTGACGTAATAATAGGTACTAATTATAACTTAGAACATAAATGAAAAACTCATGACAAGAAAAGTGGCTTAGGACCTATGCTTTGCAGCAGTCTGTGGAAGAGGATGATCGGTAGTGGACTTGTGAAGAGCTGTAATGATGATGATGATTCGAAAACTTGCACGATTAAATTATAAGAAATCGACGTTTTTTATAGGATAGGGTGACAAACGAGCACACAGTTCACCTGATGATAAGTGGATGCTGTAGCCCGCAGACATCTACATCTATCATCGATTACGAATCAAAATTCAGATGCGTTATCACCCGTGAGGACTAAGATGAAATGCCTCGTTTCCTTTAAAAAGGGTTTCTGGTTCTCTACACTCACTATACGAAACACAGTATCATTAGGCTACTATTTTACACTGACATTCTGTGAGAGCGTGGTCCTTCCCCGAAGAGGATAGATGTAGATGTCTGTGGGCCACAGTACCCACTTATCATCAGGTGAACTGTGTGCTCGTATGTCACCCTATCCTATAAAAAAACGTCGATAGCAGCACGGTGGGTTAATTGCTCCACAACTCTCAGAAATGAGAACCCCGTGACTAGCAGTGAGTAATGATATAAGAACTTTTAAAATAATAGTGAAAAAGGTGAAAAAAGTTCAAAAACTTTGTTAAACTAAGTTTGTATAAAAAGGGTTATAATAATATTAAGGAATTTATGGATGATAAAAACCCCTGGGAATGGTGATCGCTACCAAGCTATTTCTAATTTGTTTTGTGTTGTTAATTGTAAGGTGATTATTATTAACATGATTGTAAGCTGTTATTTGAAAAAAATAGTCCCTCTGGGTTTTTTGCTGGTTCTTCCCACGACAGAGGTATTTTTTGCAAACCGTGTTAAAGTTACTTTCAATAAGTATTGTTAACAATCTTTATTGAATTTTAAAAAAATCTGTTTCTGTTTCTATTCATAAGCCGTACTCCATTTACCGCCATCTATGGAAAGCCATGACATTTACCCGACAATGCCCACAGTCACCTATTAAGACGCACAGGATGGAAATAGAAGATGGATTCTTTTAAGCCGTCACGACAAAGCAGTCTTAAGCTTTGGTCTCTTGATCGTAACGCACTACGCTGCGGTATGCGGCATGCGGTGCCGGACACATAATCGTATGAAAAGCCTCATTTACATTCAGCCCCTGCCACTACTCCTCGAGCTGCCGGCAATACTTCGCTAAATACTGCCGTAGCAGGATCGAGAGAAGTGTGTATTTACATTCTGCCCTACCACTCACATCACATTCGACTTTCGACTACGGCAGACGTCAAAATAATTACAGCGTTCGCGCTGTGTCTTCCTGTAATACAAAATTTTGTTAATAATTCAAAAAGATATCAAATTCAAAAGAAGATAGATAGAACATTTATTTGCTTAAAAACATGGTACATAAGATGATCGATGATTTGGAATCGACATGTTTTGCCATAATAGGCAAAAATGATATGAAATACAGCTAATTACAAAAACCCAATGTTTTAAAATTATTCCATTGCTTAAAAGTTTTATACAAACATTCTTTTTGAATTCAAATATTATGTAGGGGGATGTTCCCTAGTGGCGGACACCTAAGGTTATTTATAAATAAATCAAAAAAATATTTTAAGAAATGTTTATTAAATTATGACTTATATTAGATAACAAAGTTAGAAATCAAATTAAATTAACAAAAATGCATGCTATCAATCAAACTTTGGTAACAAAAAATATAATTTTAAAAAGTGGCACCTAGTACCGAACGAATATTTGTGCCATACCCCTAGCACCGGATATTTCAGAATAACCTGCATCAATCAGGTATGTAGCCATCTCCACACTCTGGAATGTCTGCACATGCTTCATGTACCCACCGACGACAGGATGAGCACTGAATCCAGTCTTCGTCAGGGTCTTCTAAGCAAACTACGCAAAAAGTTATGTTTGTGTTAGATGTTTCAGTTAATGGTTCTACTTCACTTCCTTTCTTTCCTTTAGGTTTCACGTTTGTCGCTTCTTTTCGCATGTCTACGCTCTTTCCTTTGGTTTTAATTCCTTTGATTTGCTTTCCTTTACCTCCCATTGCTACTTCAAACTTAGATTTTATTTCCTTCTTTTTATGTTTCATGTTCTTTTCATTTTCTTTTTCCTCTGCCACTTTTTTGTATGGCGATGAAGTTAAAATTTCACTTCGTTCACTCTATCTTTTTCGAGTTGCTGTTCGTTTTTTGAAGCTTCAGGCAACGGTGATAAGTTATAGATTATTTGAACAAGATCTGGAGCAGAACTTGTCGACGGTTTGGGACTTGTGGTTATAGTCTCACTAATAGATTGTTCAGATACTTTCATTTGCTCTTCTATGATTAAGTTTGATATCACGACAGCTTGTTCGTTATATAGTGCGTTCGATGAAGTTTCTGTTTGTTCTAGTAGTATATTGGTCATATCTGCAGCCAAATAATCTAGGTCATAAAATAAATATCTGTCAAATGGATGGATTCCAGTGCATTTGAATCCAGATACTGCAACATCCAATCGAGCTACTTTTATAAATGCTTCTTTGACCAAACTAGCAATGTCGTAATCCGATATCCGACATCCAGCATTTGTTCTCATCCACAAGTCATAATTGTCATCGATTCATAAATGTCCTGTCCAGAGGCTGGAGCTTGTGCGTATTGTGTGGTGGTGAACTCATCAAGTGAATATTTTTATTATTTTTAGATTATCTCTGCAAAAATTGATTACCGCCAATGTCTTGCGGCTGCAATGGCCATCCAGTGGCAGCAGCACAGGGTTCTCTTTGGTTGGTTGCGGGTGTTTGACGAATATTCTTAGATATTGGAAAAAAGTCACTATTCATCCACCCTTTTGGCTAGGCCACACCGATGCTCTCAGCTGGAGCATTCACCATAAGCTTTTCATTCATTCTTTGCCTAGGAAATACGAAAAATGGGGATATGTAGTGACCGTTAGCACTCATACAGAACAAAACTGTGATATTTTTGCCTCTCTCAGCAGAAGTGAGCTTACTTACTTCACGGATGGCTTTCGGAGCGAGAACTTTTTAATGTTTGTGCACGCAACTGACGCCAGTTTCATCACAGTTATAAATTCTTGAGGGTGTGAATTTGTACTGTTTCATCAGCTTTTCAAGGCTGTCGTAGAATAGATCCACTTGTGGTTTGTTAAATCCTACGGCGCGCATCATGCTTGTCGATTCCGGTGCTCTCAACGAAATGTCAGAATGCCTTTTTATGAAGTCGTAGTAAAAATGTTTACCAGCACCGCCTTTTCCTTTGTTAAATCGACGAGAAATCTTCATGACTTCAGCTAAGTCGTATGCTTTTAATTCTATAAATCTTTAATGTAGTCCACCAAAACTTGTTCATACTCTGCTGAGAAGGTGCTACTACCTACTTTGGTAGCTACTACTACCTACCTAACTTTGGTTTCATTGTTACTTCTTCTCTTCGATTTAGGGCCTTTATTTTGTCATGTATAGTGCTTTTAGGAATATTGTATTGCATTGCAGCTTGTCTTACACTCAGTTCTTTTGACATAATCTTATCAATAGCAGTTTGTAAGCTCTGTGGCTCCCAGGATCCTTTCTTTTTCTTCTCTTCCATTTTAATTATCTTCTTTCTTCTATACTCTAAAATAAAATTAAATAATTAGAATAAATGACGTAAATATCAATATGTTTACTGTCCGGCGCTAAGGGACGGCTTAGTGTCCGGTGCTAAGGGACAGACATTTTCGTTCATTAGGTGGTACCTACTAAAATTGTTTAAAAGATCTAATAATATTCTACCATTTTACGGATAACAATCAAATACTACTTTTATCTTTGAATACCACTCAAATGTAAATGCATAAATATACTAGAATTACTTACATTGATATTTAGGTGACGCCGTGATTTCGCGCCTAAAACAGCAAACGGTTGCTCCCGTCGTAGCCGTGTTAGCACTGGCGAGGCGCGGCGCGTCATCCTGTACCTGTGTGCCCCCCGCGCCCCTTTCACTTGTATTTTGAATCGAACAGATTTATACTCGCTTAAATAGTACTAGTGTCCGGCGCTAGGTGCCGTCCGGCGTTACGGGACTTCCCCTTACAATTAAATACTTATAAAGATCCACTCTATTTGAATTCTTATACAATAAATTATTCATAAATTATTACATTATTGTTGCATAAATAATATTAAATATTATATGAGATTAGTTAAGCTATTATTATTATAATAATTACACTACAGTATAAATTAATTCATAACTTTAATTACAATAAAATTATAATTCACAAATCTCAGGCTATTATGCAAATATTACCATTTAAATTAATAAAAAACATTATTTTACATTTTAATAAATAAATAATCAATATGAATTACTGATTGTTTTTAGAAATAAAATGTTAATGTTCATTAATTCCTTAAACTAAATTTCATATTAATATAATAAACGACGAATTTGTAATGAATCACGTACATAGGTATTATGTTATCTCAAAAAGAAGATTCGTTCTCGTTGAAGATGATTAATTATGGTGTTTATCGTTGAAATCCCATATAGTTTTTTCTGATTCCAGCAGTTCTAAAAACACTCGAAAGGCATTTTGGCAGATCGTACTTATTTAATAACAAGACGGCACGCACGTTCGCTCATCCAGGCGCTTGACGCGAAGTGAACGACGGAGCAGAATGTGAACGTTCACTGCCGCTCGCGCTGCCCGTCCTTTGACTTCCGCACGAACCTTAAAATTACGATCAAGAGACCAAAGCTTAAGACTCCTACCGACTAAATTCCGATTGTAGTCAACGTAGTCGTCAACGAGGGATCTTCATACAAAACGCAACCACGATCCCACCACCTAGGCCGATATTTTTTTAAATAACAATTGTTAAAATAAAAAAATGTACAACAGACTTCAATATAAATAAAATGAGAACATCATCAATGTAGTCGAAATCAATTCAATACGCATTATTAAGGATAACTCAAAAACTACTGGTCAGATCTTGATCTAATTTATGCAGGCTTTCAAATAAAAAAAGAATCTTCAAAGTCGGTGCATACAAATAAGTTCTGAGGTAACAAAAATACAGTCGAATTGAGTATTAACATTATTAATATGCCCTTTAACCACTCCTGGATTATGGTTGTAGCACGAATGGGTTGGCTTGACCGGGGTAAGAACACGCGCTGATATATTACCAGCGTGAAATACAGCTTAATGCTGCTGTGTTTTAATTAGTATTTAAAACCGGGGACATGTTTTAATTGAAACGAGGCATTCAATCTTAGTCCTAAGGGCTCACGGCCCATCTGCATTTTTTTTAAATTTATTCAGGACAACAAACAATTACATAATAGTGCTTAAACCAAATTACATTTACCAAAAAAACCAAAAATTGTTAACAGTAAAAATTTATCTTGTAAAATATTTTAAGATACTATTGAATATCAACCAACTTTCTTAAAACGTTCTTGCGAAATTGTAACTGTGATGAAGTGAATAGATCAATATTTGAAAAATGCATGTTATATACTTTCATAGTACGTCTTAATGGGGCGCGTTCACCTGCATTGGTTTTACATAGTTTATTCGCAAACAATTTACAGTACACGTCCCTAATGCGTTGAGAACGACTAGGGACACGGATACATATTTTGTTAAGTAGTTCACTACAATCTAAATCATTTCGAATTATTTCAATAATAGTATTAGATCAAAGTATATTCTTCTTGCTTTTAAAGTATGATTTGAAAACTTTTTTTAATAAGTTGCGATACGATGATTTAGCGTGGTAACATTTATAATTTATAAAACGAAGAAACTTTGCTTGTAATGATTCTAGAAGTTCACCGTATTTATTATAATAGGGGTTCCATACTTGCGTTGCATATTCAATTTGTGGTCTGATAAGTGATTTGAAAAGTAGTGAATAAGATGAGGGGCTTTTAAAAAAAATTACACGTTCGTGAAACAAATCCGTACATTTGATACGCTTTATTTGTTACATGGCTGATACGGCATTAAAGGTTAGATTTGAATCGTAAAGGATGCCTAAATCTTTTATTAGTGATACTTTTTCTAAGGTACTGTTAAGAAGGGAATATATGTAATTGTAGGTTTTTACGTTTTTGATGAAAGAAATAGATTTACATTTAGGGATGCTTAATTGCAATTTATTGATTAGACAGTAGTTAGATAACCGGTCAAGATCTTCACAATCATTAAGGGACTTTACACTTCGATAAACTTTCAGGTCATCTGCATACAAAAAAAAAATTACTATTTATAAAACAAGACTGAATATCATTTATATACAATGTGAAGAGCATCGGACCTAGTATAGATCCCTGTGGTACACCTGAGGATACTAATTTTTCGCTAGAGGAGAATCCATTAACCACAACTTTTTGGGTCCTATTAATAATGTACGAAGAGAACCACCGCAATAAGTTTCCACGTATACTATTGAACGCAAGTTTTTGAAGTAGGATGGAATAATCCACTTTATCAAAAGCTTTACAAAAGTCTGTGTAAACAGTATCATAATGTTCCAATAATATATTATATCATAATGTTCCATCAATATATTATTGAATAAAGTACTCAACTTTGTCCTCAAACCTCTACAATTCTGATAGTATACCTGTATTTTATAAGCCATCTTTATAAATAGTATACGTTTTAAGAATTTCTAGTAATAATTTTAAAAAATAAAATATGAAAAGTGTAAAATTCGAAATAAAAAACATATGGAACTATATATCGCAAAAATTTGTTTGTATACAAGATTGTTTAAAACTAATTTAGTTGGTAATAACTGTATTATGTTGTTTGTTAGAAAACGTAAATCTTGAATTGTATTAAAATGTAAACACAAAATAGTCATTGTGACGGTAGCCGCAGAAAAATATATGTGGTAAAATAATTGTCCCAGTCGTAAACAACACATTTCACATAATGCAACACTAAGAGCTTGCAAATAAATCTTATAAGAAGACGTAACTTATACATATTATTTTCAAATTTTTTATGTGGTATCATTATGTTTACTTTTCGATAATTGATGTTGTTATCTGTGTATAGCATAAATAGCAGATGTTTGGCTTGCACAAACCTATTACTAATAACTATTTCACAAGTAAATCCATCATTTGGTATCCTTTGGTTTAATTTTCGATAATATATCCTGTTCCCTTCGTATAGCAAAAATAGCAGATGTTTCGCTTGTACAAACTGGTACATTTCCGCGCTTGATCCACACAAATCTATATCCGTTCTGTTTTGCAGCTTCACGAGTTTGACGAAACAAATTCTTACTTTGAATAGTTAAGTGCTCATTGATAAATATATATATATATATATATCTACGCAGAATGAACTAACTGTATTTTGAAGTCTTGCAGTGGTATGCTTGGGTTTAGTTTTAATTTTATTAATTATAGGATCCCAAGCAAGTGGTAGTACCCAGCCTCCTTCTCTATTGAAATTAGGATGTTTTTTTAATTTCAATAGCCTCATGTATCATCCTTGGTAGGAATCGATGTTCTTTCGCGAGGATTTGTGGTCTATCAAATCTGATGTAATGTTTGGGGTTT